CTCAGGACTGTTCCGTGTCCCGTCGTGAGCTGGGCTGTGGGAATTCCAAAATGTGGTCTCAGGCATCCGTCCCCAGGACTGCTCCTTCTTTTTCCTAATTATTTTCACTCATTCGAGCCTTAGCTGTATTCAGACCTGGTTTTTCCTTCCTCTTAAGAGACCGAAAGTCTTGACTTCCGTGCAGATTTAACAGTTTAGGAAACCATGCTGAACCTTCGCGTTTGTTAATGCCCTGTGTAAGCTCGGGTTTGATTTGTGGATTTCSATTCTCACCTGGTTTCAAAGAGTGGTACCTAGTGGTTTTTTTTTCCCTCTTTTTCCGTGCACGTTAAGCATTTATTCAGCACTAAAAAGGCTCAGAAAATACCCTTAGGTTTTTTTTACTAGAGAGGTGAATACTACCTGTAACAGCAAATGCGCTGCCCTTCCTATAAAACACTGACTTCTGGAATAAGCATATATTATAGTTGTAACTTCCTAAAGTATCTCAATACTGTAAGCCTGCACTCCTATTTAAATAGATGTACTGTCATGCATGAATCATTGAAAAACTTTTATCACTGCATCGTGTTTCTGTTACTCTGATGTACAAAATAGGTATGCACGAGTTAAACTTTGGGTTTGTTGTTTTGKTTTTTTTTAATAAACTGTTTTAATTGTTTATACTAATCAGAGGAAAAAAATAATTTGTTGAGGTATTTGTTCAGCCCAGGGAAGAAACTCTAAGCCGCCACAGGCTGAGGCTTAATTATAATGAGTGCAAAGTGGTGGTTGAAACTGTAGCTTCTGGGTTATGCAGGTGAAAATAAAAYGGGAGTGTAAACTGTCTCTGATGACATCCGTGGGTAAMAAAGCTGTTAAACTAATACRGTTGACAYTAYTTCTCTTTCTCTCAAGCAGATACTGCTCCAGGTTAGAAAATCGTTTTCCTACACTACAGTTCACTTTACAAACAGGGTTCTGTGTCCTCATGGGACAAGGGAAGAGCAGTGATGGCTATTTACTGTGACTTTAGCAAGGTCTACTGTCTGTGACACAGCCCCCCACAGTATCCAAGTGKGTAAGGGACAGGAAAAGGGGACTCCTGTGCAATGTGTCTTATGTTCAGTGCAGGACAAATCCTTAATTAGTATTCTACCCTCTACTGGTCGTTGATTTCTCACTGTTCATGTTTATTATTCCATATTTTTAGTCTTTAGTATTTTTTTTCTTCCATTAGGGAGGAAATAGTTTCCAACACACATGTASTGAGTCTTTGTTACCTTTTTATTTATCCTCTGATTTCTACAAAATAGCTTGTAGTCTGTAAATTSTGTGYTTCTGGTCRCAGCACCRAGCCTGACAGAGTTCAAGAAGYATTTGGACAATGCTCTCAGGCACATGGTGTGACTGCTGGGTATGGTGCTGCACAGGGCCAGGAGTTGGGCTYTATGATCCTTGTGGGTCCCTTCCAAACMCTGCTTATTTCTTGATTCTGTGATTGTATCAAATTGGATATTTCATTTTCTCCCAGGCCTTGTTCAATGAAGCATATCAAGGTCATGTGCTGGTTAAAAATTATTTCAGACTAGCACACTGTTTACAATTAATATACTTATTATGACTGATTAAAACAATTAATTAAAATTAATTTTAAAAATTATGTCATTTTCAACAAGCACACCTGGCCACTGCAGTGGAGGTGTGTAAGGGGTTGATGGTGGTCCACATGTGTCCRCAGCCAGTGCAGCATGTCTGGGCAGAGGGTGGGTGCAGTGAGSATCAGGGCAGCTGTGAGCTGGTTTTCCTGGACCTGCAACTGTTTTCCAGCTACTGCCTCCACTAAAATAGCTGGGATTGTTCAGCTTGCAGAAGGCTCTACAGAGATCTTAGAGCATCTTCCAGTACGCAAAGGGCCTACAGGAAAGGTGGAGAGGGACTTTGTGCAAGTGCAGGTAGACACAGGACAAGGGATATTGGTTTTGAACTGGAGGAGGCTCAATTTGGATTTGAAAGAATGTGGAAGTATTTTTTTTTTATTCTATGATTTTGTAGCTTTAGAAACAAATAGACAACAGCTGAAAGAAAATAATTTCTGTTTTCTTCTCTCAGGCCCTATGCTGTTATCAAGCCTGCTGCTTGGAGTGGAGATTTCCATMATAGCTTTGGCTGTTTCAAGTTTGTTTCAACCCTCTCTCAATCACAAGCTGGTAARTACCATAGCCTAGTTAGTTGTGTTACTTATTTTTCTCTCTCCAAATACTATGTGGTTATTTTGTGTCAGGCTGGAAACTTCTTTAACTGAGTTTAAGGGTGGAGACCCTCTGGGTAGGTGCATCCCCAGCTTTCTGAGGCTGTGTCATCGACCCCTCTGATGATGGTAATTCTTAAACTATGCTAAGACACTTAGAAAATTAGATGATTGGTGATGGCCAACCTGGCTTCCCACAGCAARTCATGCCTGACTAAAAATTTCTAAAAATTTGCTGTAAAAACACAGAAGGAAATGTGTTCAGAGAAATAGGCATGATATTCCCTCCAAAATACTTGGAACTGAGGCAAAACTCATAATATATTTAGAAGAAAAGAACAAAATAAGTTGAGGGAGAACATTCAGAAGGCATAGAAAAGTATTATAGCTGGTGCAGGACATGAGGATAATTTCAGACTTGAAGCCCCATGGAAAAGTCACAAAGAGAAGGCAGAAGAGGAATGATACTTCATGTAAGAAGGGGATAAGATATCTAAGTTGTTACAATCAAGTTTGGTACTTTTAACTGAAGAGAGGGTGCCTTGAAAATGAGATAATAACAAACAGCAAGAAAACCAGGAAGTAAAAGATAGTGTATTGCTGTGGTGGCAGCAGGAAATGGATCACACAAGTTTTTGGCTTCTCATTTCCAGTAATGGAAATATTTTTTAMAAGTAGAACAAAAAGGCTTGTGGTTATGGACATACAGAGCATGTATATCACACAAATTTCACATGCAACAAGAAATAATATGAAGGTCTCTTTAAAGGAGAATGTAGCACTTGATTTCTGATGCAGATTTTACTTGATTTCTCAAGCAAATAMATATTTTATTACTTTTTCTTAAATTTATCTGCAGTTTATATAATGCCCCTCTCATCCCGAAGTAGATACTGCTCAGTAGTTGGGTGACGAAGCAGTAAATGATATGTAGTACTATAAACTGACTTGCCTTGAAGAAAAGACAGTCTTGGCTTTTTCAATCTATTTCTTTTTTTGCTCRGATTGTGGATGTGTAATAAGAAGGTTCTGTGGTAACATTAGTGGAGATCAAAATACCAAGTACTAGGAATAATGGAGTTGCTAGGACAATAATAGTATGTAATGAAAGGAATTGTTATATTGCAGCAAAAATCCATTGTACGTCTGTATGGTAAGTATGACATGAAGGTCTATTCCCATAAAGAGTGGCATGCAGGAGGTAAATAGAAATGGTCACTCCTTTTCATAACAAGAAAAGAGCAAAGAAATCCTGTGGCAGATTCAGTGGTACTTGCTGATCATTGGTGCCTGTCTTTCCTTGGTATTGTGTGCTGCAATTTCTCAACTGTCCCTCGCTCTGTGAAGAGTTATCGCCCCTTTTGGGCTGGATTTCAAATCAGAGTTTAGGCATAAGCTTGTTAACTGCTTTGTGGAGAAAGATGAGGTAGGGTCTGGTGTATCATTAAGAGATTAAAGTTCAGGGCTCACTTTTCCCTTTCCTGTGTGTGTTGTGAAAGATACAGTTCTGCTCTTTGAGCACTGTGGTTGAAAACATCTATTGCCTTGTSCTGTCATGAATTGTACAAGCCAAAGGTCTGCCTTTCCCTTTAGGTTTTTAGTCGTGCATCCTCACTAAGCTCTCAGGAGGGAGAGCAGGAGGGTATCTTGGGTTGATTTTGTGCAAATCCTATATCCTATTCCTATATTCTGTCAGCTGTGTGCCCAAAAGGTGTCTGTGCCTTTAAATGCGACCCATAAAGACGGGGCAGGGGTGGCTGGAAAGGCAGTGCGGGCAGTTAAAAGCCAGGCTTCCAGGCTGCCTCTGGTTTTTGGAGCTCAGCTTGCTGTGTGCAKTGGAGTTACATTGTTGCCGCTGAGCTAGCTCAGGTTTGTTGGCTTGGACAAACAGCTCTCCCTGGGCTGCCATCCCTTCTGCAACTCCTGTGATTTTCTGGATGTTTTTCTGGAGCGGATTGGTGGCGCTACGGTCTGAGAACCAGGAGGCAAGCGCTGACCAGCCGGGCACCGGCAGGTAAAAAGCGGTGGGCGCTGCTCAGTCTAGTCCCGGACTCCAGAGGAGCCAAGCCAGCCAGAGAAAAGCACACCGAGCCCTCTATTTCATCCACTGTGAGGAGAGGACTACCTCYAGGTTTTTTTCCACTGTTGCCAGAGCAGCCACACCATCTTTCTCCACACCACATGTCAAGCGGCTGTAGGGGGAAGGGGGCGGTGTGCGGTCTTAGAGTTCTAAATATCCAACAGTTACTCATTTTTAATCTGTRTCTTGTGGGCACCTTGTTTTGTTAATAAACTATTTTTCTCTTCACTTTTACCCAAACATCTATTTCATATTGGTGGAAAAAATTATCAAATTTT